ATGAAATGAATCTGGGACAGCTACGTTATGACATGGTGTTTTGATTTGAAAAAATGTTTGGGTTGACCATTTTGTTCAAATTTTAATATTGTTTATTTCTATTATTGGATGATGTTAGGTTTGGTACGTTGACAAATATTTGTACTTCACATTCTTTGCTCTTCATGGCGCAGTATTTTGAAGATTTGCTGTTTCAATATTGCAAAAAATGACTTTGACCATCCTTTCTTATAGTGACTTTTCTGCAGGCCTTTTGGCTATTATTTTATAGACACACAAATTAGAGACGCCAAGAACAAATTGTGATGATGTACTTTGAAAAGAAGTGACAGACTAATTGAGCAAAAAAATCTTCTCTTCAACTTCAGGCATCCTGTCAACTCATTTAAGGAGCAATTTCAGGGACATAAGGTCATCAATTACAATTTATTCTATTTCTTTTGTTTTCCCACAACAAATGTTTATTTTCCGAACACTCAAAACTTTTTAAACTTGAATTTTGTTGCTTGTCTATTGAAGTTTGACTTGAGGAGATTTGATAGTATATTCAGTCAGGGTTTGGATCTGAAAGCATAATTGGACTCTCTGTACATGACAAGATTGCATGTACAGAATTTTTCTCAGTATGATTAATTTTCTTCTAGTCCCATCAAGTTTCTCTACCTGAATGTCATAGGGCTCTCTGTACAACGATTGTCTCTACTGAGATTTGTTTGGTCACCTGAATTTTATTAGACCCCTTGCAAACTACAGTGTGAGGTACAAGGGTTGGTTCATAAGATTTGAGACTTTCTGAAAAAATATCCAATAACACAGAATTTCAACAATTCCAAAAATGCATTCACATAACCTGCTCATTTTCCATAAAAAAATAAATCAAAATCGGGCAAGAACCTTTTGAACCACCCCTGAGATGTTGCCAAATCATAGGGCTATAGCTTGTGGTGAATTGGGAATTTCCCAATAATTAAATGCATTCCTGTTTCCTTGGTTAGTAATGGTAATGCCAAGTTGGCAAGGCTGGCACATTTGAGTCATGCAGGCAGCGCCTGTTATTTGACTAGGAACAATTTTGAATTGGTGAAGCTCAACATATTTTAAAAAAAGTCTTAGGACTTATGAACCAACCCTAAGAATAATTCTTCCCAGCCTGAACCTATAGAAAGAGCACTTTTTTATTCACATATCATCAGCAGTTTTATCCACTCAGTGACCCAAAAGATATGCCTGCTCGCAATTAGACAATATTGCCTGCTTGCAGTAAGGATCTACAGGTATACAGTACAAAGGCTTCTGCATATATATTCAGAATCAGCTGAGGAAAGATAGTTACAGGTATCATCAAATGGTTGAAGCTCTACATCTACTTCAAAAAGTCTCAGGACTTATGAACCAGCCCTAAGAATAATTCTTCCAAGCCTGAACCTATAGAAAGAGCACTTTTTTATTCACATATCATCAGAACCTTTATGCTCTCAGTGAGACAGTGACCCAAAAGATATGCCTGCTTGCAATTAGACAATATTGCCTGAAGTAAGGATCTACACTTCTACAGGTATCTGCTGCATAGGATCTACACTTCTACAGGTATCTGCTGCATATGCATTCAGTATCAGCTGAGGAAAGATAGTTATCTTCAAATTGCTGAAGCTCCACATATCTACAATATTTCAGAAAGTCTCAGGACTTATGAACCAACCCTAAGAATAATTCTTCCAAGCTTGAACCTAGAATAAAGAGCACTTTTTTATTCACATATCATCAGCAGTTGTATGCGCTCAGTGAGACAGTGACCCAAAAGATATGCCTGCTTGCAATTAGACAATATTGCCTGCAGTAAGGATCTACAGGTATACAAAGGCTTCTGCATATATATTCAGTATCAGCTGAGGAAAGATGATTATCATCAGCTAGCATTCGTAGCCGAAACAAGGGCGGATGGCCTTTGGTCTGGAACTGGGATTGCAGGGCTTCACAGGGCACGAAACAGTCCTGTGCTCTAATCCTGGACCGCAAAGTTGGTCGCAGTCGCTCCACTCGTCCACGCTCCAGTCTTCGCATGCCTCCTGCAATTCGCAACAATAACCATCAGGACACGAGGGCGGCTAATTAACTTGTCGCTTATCATTACTGCTGTAGGGGAACATATTCTTGCGTGCACATGTATATAGTCTCCATGCAGCATGAGAGGATAAAGAAAACGTGTCACACTATTACTTCATCAAAACTTTTGCGGATAACGGTGTGTTATGGCCTGGGTGAAGGGTTGTCCCAATAGGACGCGACCTGTGATATTTTTTGAGAAGGTGTGACTTGTGAAAGGAAATAAAATATTCTTGAAATATAATCCATGATGTTCTGAGTCAGTTTTCTCCAACCTTTTTTCTTGAACAATGAACCAGCAAATTTCAAAAAAAAAAAGTAATAATTCTGAAGACCAGCATAGTTTCACAACATCCTTTTGTGGAATCAAAAGAGATTTTGTTTGGAAGACTTCATGGCAGGAATTCAAAAAAGGTTCCACTTTTTTTCAATGATTGAGTTGAGAATGAATGAAGCAGCTTTAGTGGAATGTCTTGATGAGATTGGAGCTGTGGACTTAAAGAAAGGTTAATTTCTCAGAATGAAAAAATTAAAATACAGTGATATATTCCAGCAAGTGAAAACTTGTCCAAGGCATAATTAAGAGAAAAGCCATAAGTTTTATTCTTCATCAGATGATTTCAACTACCACAGCCTGCATGGAATTTTAGATGAAGATAACTGACTTCAATGCTATTTTGGACAAATTGATTATGACGCAAATCTCATTTGCACTGCTCCTGTATCCATAGACCACAGGTTGGACAAAACTAGTCCAAAGCTCTGGGATTATTTTTGGACCAGAAAACATTCTGTATTCATTTTATGAGGATAAGAGAAAACTTTCCAGTTACAGATTAAGTTCTACACCCATGTCAAAGGGTGACAGAAATTTTTTGGGCCACCTAAAAAATTGGAACAGTATTTGAAATATTTTGAAGTACTGTGCAGTACAGTACTGTATTTTTAGATCATATACAGTACAAGTAATGTACTTTATAGTTGGATCATATACAATACAAGTAATGTACTTCATAGTTGGATAATTTTCAATAAAGCTGAAATCTACACATGTGAAAGGTGAATTCAGCTAAACATTTTTGTGGTGGGAGTGGGACTAAATTAATCTTCAAGTGGCCTTTCAATGTGGGTGAGCAATATACAGTACCTATAGTTTGAACATTGGCCAAAAAGGGTTGAGTGATACTATAGGCAAAAAAGATCGCATCTCTAATTGTTTCCTTGCTGAATGTCCAGCCAAGTTTTGCAATGAATGCCAATTTATTTCTCATTACTTTATAAATAAATTCCCAAATCTACGAATTTTGAAAAATTCTTCACACAGCTTTGATAAGACCTTTTTTACACATTATATGATCATGGCTTTTATCTGAACTATGCACATTAATTGTCTTTTTTTATTGCGTATTTGAAATAACTTCTATACGTGATGGACATAACCAACCGGATTCCATTCATATTTCTTCATTTTCATCCTTTCAAGGGAGAATTATTCAATTTCTTGAAAAATGTTTTTCTTTCTTCGTAACGATCAATTGAAAAGAAATGTTTTTACCTCATTACAAGTTTGTTCCTTCTTTGGAGATTCACTGGTACACAAATCCAGGTCGACGAAGACTCCAGTTATACTTTCCTGGCATTTTATTGACCTTGTCTGCAATCCACCATCACACAACAGAGAGCACTGCGAATTAAAAAATGTAGGCAATGAAATTATTTCAAAATTTATTATTTGATTGCTAAAAATATTACTGATGCGTTAGTTGGTCGAGCTTCAGTGAAGAAAGTCACCAAAAAAACACAGTCTTTCGTGATAGGTGATATGGTATTACAACAGTACTAATACGCATGTACAGCATTTCAAATATTGTGTGCTGTACTGTAATACAGTATGTTTCTCATGCATACATAGAAGATGTACTACATGGGTTATTGAATTACCTGGGACCAAGTGCCAAGTTTCCATTTGAAAACAGGCTGAATCAAGCCTGTAATCAGGTCCAGGTCTACCACCAGGTCTTCTTCAATCAGATTATAATCCATAAAATCTGAGCTGGATTCTGTTCCAGTTAATTGTGTGTTGATGGAATTTTCTGGCCTGAATCCACTGCCATTTTCTTCTGGAGAAGAATTTGTTGAACTTGCACTGCTTCCATGCTCAGCAAAGTCCAGGTTGAATCTATATGCATACAGTATATGTATATGAATATATATACAATTTTCTTTTTCAAATGTGAAATGTATCATCAAATTTTCACCTGGCAGTTATTTAGACATACTTTCCTCCTTACTGTTCATTTGGAAGAAAGTCATGCATTCCAAAATATACATAAAGAATTTCCAAAAGAACTCAATTTCATATCATACAAAACACTAATTTTCTCTGCAGAAAGTTTTTCTTATTTTACGTTGGTAGGATGCTGTGCTAATTAATTTTTATTATATTTCTGCTATTTATAAAATAATCCCTATATGGCCTATGCACAGATTCAAAGCAAAAGTTCATTACATTTTGATTTCAGTCTGAAATAAGTTCAGTGGAACAAGATTTTTAATAAAATTACCCCAATGGAGAAACTGCTGGGACCGATAAAAATGTGTTGAAATTTTGTTTTATAAAACGGTATTTTATGTAATGGAAATTCACAGTACAATGATGAAAGAACTATACCTGGGTATTCAAATTTCCAGAATCTCCTAGATTTAATTCCATGCAGAACCAAAGGTGAAGGCCACCCATTTTCTGGGAATATTTCAATAGGGTTGGTCCATTCATCAGGGAACAAAATCAATTACTGCTTGACATGTCCCAAATACTTTGCTTCACAGTACTTTACTGTACCATACGTTCATACCTAGCTGTCGTTGTGGGACCTGATCCACTCCCCCTTCCTTCAGTTTCAGTATAACAAGCAGATTCATCCCCAGAGTTGCAGAGCCGGAATGTTTTCGGTTTTGAATCAGCGTGACAAGGATGGGATGAGCAGAAGACGTGTCTGAATTGGAGTCCTTCCCCGCATGTGGTTGAGCACTATAAACATTTAGAATAGCAGATTGCTGGGTGGGAATTTGTTTAATTGAATTCCTGGATTACAGTCAACACCCTGCAGAATGGACTTGATTTGTGCAACAGACTATAGTCTGGTCTGTGAAAAGTCTGTTCTGAAAATTCTGCAGTGGATCAGAGGGACTCAGGTCCTTTGGAAGCATGCACTTCTACAGACTGAAGTCTGTTAAGGGAATTTTGTCCGTTCTGGGAGAGAAAAAACTGCCTCTGGACTCTGGAGGCAGTCTGATCTGCAAAAATCTATCCTGCAAGAGATCCATTCTGTGGGGGTTGACTGTATTTCCTCAGCAATGCAGTGTTCCTAATAAATCTCAGACTCTCATCATATACAGTTCCACATTAGCTTGAGTACCCTGCACCCTGAAAGTTGAATGCCAGGCATCCAGGTTTTTTCAGTTTCAACTCTGAATACCTGACTAAACTGTATCCCTGAGACCCTGACTAAGATTACAACTCATCATTTTGTATTCACTCTAAAACTGCTGTATATACTGTAATGTGTTTCAAAAATATTGTAGAAACACCCAAATTTAAATTCAGATAACAAGAATAGGACCTGATTTTTTTCAATTTTAATTGTTCCCTTTTTCTGATAAAGTTGTTCAAAATTTCCCCATTACAATCAAGGTTCCCTTTTGACCATCCTGGTTCCCTTCATGTTTATGCACAGTTCTTATCCAGTTTGATCAATGCTGACCACTTAGGATAACATTTTGTGCAGGGTGCAAAGGTTCTTACCCGTGACCATTCATCAATTTCCCATGAACCGCATTGAATTTCTCCACAGGTCCTAGATTCCAAGGGCTTTTCCTGCTCATCACAAGGAGGACTTTTCCTGGTGCATGTGACTTCTCTGGTCTGCACATCGCATGGATCTCCAGTGCAGGTCTGTTCAGGTGTTGACATATAATTACACATTTTCTTTAGGGGTGATGGTTTTATTTATGATGATTTCGGAGCTTACCTCAGACCAAACACCAACAGAAAATCCACTTGGGGAAGGACAGTCCATTAGCACACATGTTTCCTCAGAAACTGGCTCCTCATCTTCAGTTACATGTTGATGACATAATTCCATTTCCACTGGGATCAAATAGCTCCAGTCAGGCAGCTCATCAATGAAAGAGATTCCTGGAGATAAAAATGGGAAAACCTACTGATGTAAAAATATTCAGCACAAGCTTTTTTAATTTTATAAACTGCGCTCATTGTTTTCAATGAATTTAAATTGACAGGACTGTCACACATAAAAATGGAAGATATATTTTCAAATTGTTCTAATTCTACCAAACACATTTTCATTGCAAAAACTTTTTAGTATACGTCTGATTGAATCCCTGAAATGTGATACAAAATTTCCATAAATTGGACGAAAAGAAATAAAAAGTGCAAAGCATTAAATATACTGCTGTGCATGTTTAAACACTTTCAGAAATAATGAAGAATGGATATACTGTATTTTTATTTTTTGCTCATCGATTCAAATTCACTTGGGAAGTTTTGTACACATCAAATACATTCTTTCGCAGCTGCTGTCGATCGAATACATATCTGCATAGGAAAGTAAATTATAAGTATCCATAAGACGTTTAGGAATGTGGGTCGTACTTGATTAGAAAATTCAACCACTGGGAACTAATCCGAGAATATCTGGAGCTTAGAAAGATTAATGACTCCTCGGAAAATTATTCAAACACTTGGCGCTGAGTGTCAGCTTTCTAAGCCTTCAAATTCTTCACACGTATTGTATAAAACTGACACAGGATCATAAAGACCTTTGGATCATGAACGAAAATATGATTAATTTTGCACTCGAGAATTACGGGATCTGGAATTTTTGAAGATTTTTTTTTTTGAAATTTGGGTAAGTAAAGACCTGAGCTCACTGACCCATGAAATTGGACTGCAAACACATGATGGTCCTTTTCCTCAGGCCGATTCCACAGGTGACAGAGCAGTCCTGCCAGGGTCCTGTCCACCATCTAAACCTGGGGACAATTTATTGGCAAGAAGTTCAACCACATAGTTTAATTTTCTTTTCTTTTTTATTCGCAGTTTATCGTCGGAAAGAAATGAACCATTTTTGTTGCTTGCATAAAAGGGCTAACAGTTAAATTCCATTGGAATATATGCAATATCATTTTTCACAAAGCATATTTGTTCAGAGGTCGCAATATAGGTACATTATCCACAAATTGCATTAAAACTTCTTTTCTGGAAAATTTAAACGTAAGATTTCACTTTTTCAATTCTTTTCGAATTTGCAATGCCATTTTCCAATGGCCAATTGTCTGAAGAATTGTAAAGATTCAGTGCTCAAGTTTATGAGTGTGGTTTAAACATTCTCAACTCACAGTTATTGAAATCTCGGACACGTTTCATGCTGGAAATTTGTGTTCCTACCATTGAACAGAGATTTTTTGAGTGCTTCAGAGGGACAAAAATATTTTTTCAGAGGAAAATCACACAGTACTCGAATGAGAATATCCACACTAGGATCCTTTAGCTATTTTTTTTAGCTTGTATAGTGAGACTATCTTCTGGTTAAAAAGTTTATAATTCAGTGATTTCATGATAACTTAGCAATTTCATAACTTATAGTGGTTCATATCATAACTTATTGATTTTCCCATGTGAGGAGTGAAATCAAAATTTGAAGAAATTGATAAGGGGTCCATAGAAAATTTAGGTTTTACATGCTGTTGTTATAACACGTTTTTAGGAATATACTTGAAGTTTGCAATGAGAAAATTCAATCTGTATTTTAAAATACTTATTTTTCACACATATTACACACATGATATTGATTTTTTCAGTTCTTGAATACCACTTGAATTAAATGTATCCTATTGGCAGTCCCAGTTTCATGCTTCTCCAAAATTATGGCTGCTAAAAATCGTGAAGAAAATCACTTAATGATATGCCTGTTTAATTCATGAAAAAATTTTAATCACCAAATGTTTCCGACCCTTTTTGTTTCTTCCACAGGTAGTATGATATTTTTAATGACTGAAGAAAAGATACTTCCACAATGTGAAGATCAGAGTTTCAAGTCTCACGTGTTCATTGTCAAAAAAATGAAAGTTCTATTTTTCATATGATCATAAAATAGTTGGGATTTTCATCCTATACTGTACTCGCATTTCTTTTAAACTGAAGATTCGGATGTGGGAATCAATTGGAAAAGGTGCAACTTTTTGCAGAGATCCTATTGTCAGTGCAGTCAGTCATATTCTCTAAAATTATTCAATGTGACGGAATTTTGGGAACACCCATGGCGGAAATGATATGATTGCTCTCCATTCGTCGGGTTTCTTCCATCCATGGACAATTAACCTGATTACCCACCGGATTGGGCAGTTCTGCATACCACATTCCCTGGTTTGAATGTCTGGCTTTGACAAGTGGTCACAGTTCTCTTCAGGAACCCGAACATGTCCTTCAGGTGAATTCAGAATGCAAATGTGGTCTTGCTCCTATATTGAAGTTGAATACATACAAGTACCCATTAAACAAGCAATTTTCTTGGCTGTGTGGAAGTCATTTTTTTGGTTACTCTTCATAGTCATGACAAAAATGGGGAAATGGCTGCTGAGGCCATTATCAGGTTTTTATTTGAAATACTACTAACCTGTTGACCTCCTCCACAGGTACTTGAGCAAGTTTTCCAGCCTGACAGATGCCATTCAAAGCTCTCCTCAGCTTTTTCAGGAAGGATTTTGTGGCTGACCAAAAAAGAGGAGGCTTTCAAGCTGTATTTCCATTCAATTTTGGTCTCATCCTCCTGAGTTAAAACCTTGATCATGATATGATGGATTAGGCAAGATTATACTGATAACTGAAGTTCAAATAGTGCTGGGAGTCTTACCATGAATATTATTGATTCGTTTATTGGTCCAGTGATGGAGATTTCTTCTGTCAAGTCCTCTCTTTGGTAGTTTGCAACAGAGTCTGCAACTTCATACTCTCCCGGCCATCTGATGAACCTTGGTGTGGTTTCAATAGTTAAAATGTTGCGAATTATATTTTTAAAAGTGAAACTGTGAGGTTCTCGAATCTGAAAAATATGGAATGCATGATTTCATGCTGTACAGTATTCCCAAAGTTAAGATTAATTTGAATCTCAGTATCATCTGATCTAATTGAAAGCTTATACAGTCACCCCTTCCCCACCCTGCACAATGGAATAAATTTGTGCAACAGAATGTAGTCTGGCATGCAAAGAGTCTGTTGTGCGAATGCAATTTTCCTATACATTTAATGTTGATAAATTATGATTTGTGCTTTCTTTTGAATAAGCATTGACGCTGCATTCTAAGTGCCAGGACCTCTTCTGGATTTTGGTATGCTGTAATGAAAAGTTTGAGAGAGCATGAAAAGTCCATTCTCTGCTGGAGGCTTGCCAAATTTGGCTGCCATTGATTCATTTTGGAATGAGAATGGATAAGAAAATTCCAATTCATTCTGGGTCACCATGCTTTGCTTCACAAATGGAATGGAAAGCTCTGGAGTCTGTGTAAGAAACAAAAAGGAGACAAACAATGGATACATTGATTCTGCGCAGGCACAATAGCTCGCTCAACTGCCAAAACCAGCAACAGCAATAAATTGGCTGTCACTGGGGGTCATAAACAAACATCTGAACCGGGTCATAAAACCCGACTCAGAAAAATGTGCATGAAGAGAAATCACCCCCTTCACAAAAACATGAGCATATCCAAAACCCCAGGCAGGTGGGAACAAAAATTGGAAAGGAAGGGATTCCTCTCCAGATCTTTGTTAAAAAAGCACGCAGCCTCCCGTTTTGTGGGAAACTGCGCTTGACTGGCCAGATGTTGCCAATCAAAATGGGGAAAAACTCCCCATTTCTGAAGGGAAAACAAGATTTATCAAACCCCTTGTTAAGACCCAGCAGCAACCGTCTTGGCTGCTCAATATCGGCGCACCTTGCCAATTATTTTCTACAGGTATAAATGGGAGCAAAAACCCAAAAATCATCATCAGACCCTTTCCAAGCAGAGACCACGTTGGACCAACGTCTTGCAGTTGCCTGAAAACCCAACCTTTTTCAAATTTTGTGTCATCTCCTTGCAAGATTTGAATCATCTGCGGAATTTTTCTGCTATTCAGCTTGCTGTTTTGCGGTTATGTGTGCATACGACAAATATATTGTGCGCTTATTTTTGGATTTTTTGGATCCATCAGGTTGGTTGCGCACCAACCAATTGCCAAGTTTTACTCTCCCAAAGCCCCAATCTATCTCAATACACTCACTAGTAAAATAATCAGGGTGTGACACTCAATTTTGCACAGTCTGAATGCTTTGACAATGGGAAACCCTGGAACATTCCAATAATGTAATGTTTGCATGCATTCCAATTCAATTTTTTAAATATTGAAGTCTACTTTGAGAGCCTTTCAAAATGGATTTTGCTTCATTTTTGAATTTATGAGAGAATTTAATGTAAATCAAACTTTCAATTCTGCTGGTTTCAATGGGTTCTTCAATGCACAAGACATTCTTTGTTGTAATTGAATGGTTGGTTGTTTCAAATTGGAACCTGTGTTCTGATGATTTGGGAATTACCCAGTAGTGCAGGCATGGCTCTGGCACAACTCACTGCACCTTTACTTGCTGCAACAAAAGTTGCCACTGATACAGCTTGCTGCTGTCATCACTTGCCACTGTAACAACCTGCTGCAAGCCCAACTCACTGCAGAAATAACCCACCGCTGATACAAGTTGCTGCGATTAACTTTTATATAGCAGCATATTTGAGAGTTCACAAAACATAAGAGATGTTAACTAGGTTCATGGAAACACCCTCCAAATATTCCATGAGTTTTCTTGAACTATGTGAACTCAAAAAACTTTGAAAATACTTGGTACTTTTATATATTTTTCTTTTAATTCATTGGGTTCTTTTGCCTTTTTTTTACTGTAGCCTATACAGTTCTTTGGTATGCTTCTTCCTTTTTCAATGCATGTAATCTTCACAAGATTACATTTAATCATGCAAGATGGGCATCATTAATGTGTGCATGACACGTTATTGCAGTGGTGAGTTGTGTGTGCAGCAAGCCATGTGCAGCAACTTTACTTGCCTCACTTATTCTGGCAAATTGTAGCAGCTGCAGGTTGTCTGTGTGGCAAGAAATGACTGCGGCAAGTCAGTTTTTCAGCAAGTTATGACAGCAGCAAGTCATAAGGGGTGCAGTGAGTTCAGTGCGGCAAGTTCTAGAGCAGTGAGTTGTGTTGACATGATGCAGGCATTTACGTTCTCCTGATTAGAAACAGTAATGCCAAGTTGGCAAGGCTGGCACATTTGAGTCAGCTTAGTCTGTTTTTGAAACTTTAAATTTTTGTATGATCCTCACTCTTTTTCATCAAGAGTGGGAAATTTTCCTTTTTTCCAGTCTTTTTTGACTTACTGTATTTTTTTCACTAACAGCAAAACTTCTGAAAAACAAGCAAGATCACAACCAAGAATAACTCAAAATAAAACGCACACACATTCAAACTGATGATTATGATATATTTTTACTCAAATTATGATGGGAAGTATGGGGAAAGTGAGGGGGACTCATGTCCACTAGCAATGCACACTGTAACACATGGACTTCCATTATTTGGATTTATTCCATTGTGTGGGAGGGAGGGGGTGACTAAAAACAAACCTGAAATATTCTGCTTAATTACCAAGCCCAAAAATAATCTTACCCAGAAACCAAGCCAATTCACAAAGACTGACCTAGATCACCTAACAGTGAACCCCAACCATTTTGTGCCTGCAGATTGGCAAATTTCCATAACATTTTTTGCAGAGTGACAAAGTTTCATCAAATTTTATTGCAGACTCAAAAAGTTTCATTTGAAGATTTAATGCCAGACATATAAAAAGATTGTGCTATATTGCAAAAATTCAATTATGAATGAATAAAGCAGCTATGATGAAAAACCTTCAAAAAAGTATAAAGGTTGGTTTCAGGAAAGCTATCTCGGGTAAAAAATTTCTGAGGAGCTGCTGGGAGGAATGCCAACTACAGAAGGAGAGCCAATAACATAAAGTACCTCAATACAACTTGAACTTTGTTTTTTTCAGCAAACTATAAGAGGTGAAATTGGATCAAAAAGTTAGGAAAATATCAGTCACACCTGACCTGATACATCTAAGTCAACCATTGACCTAAAATTGGACTAGATAATGGAGACATCACGAAATAATAAAAGCCTTACCTTTTATTATAAAAACATTACTCATTATAAAATACAGCCGCTACACTAAAATAGGATAAATTTTACTTCCAGGGAAAATAATTAATTTGATAAAACTGTAAGCGTACTGACAAACACCTGACTTTGATGATACTCAAAAATGTTGCTGGGTACAAATCATAAGAATAAAATAAAATTCCAATTGTATAGATTTCAAAACATCTATTCACCAATCTCCATTGAGGCAAAATGTCCCTCGGAAAGCAGACTTGATTGCCAAAAAATTTTCTGAAGGATGAGTCTCCTTTATTTGGATGCTTGTTGCATGTCTTGGAATTTGTATGATTGTCCTGTATGATGTCAATGGTGCTGTCAGCATCCAAAATGACATGGTAACAATGGCACTTGACAAATTTCATTTTGGAATAGCTAAACTTACAATTCCTGAAGTCAGCATTCCATGTTCCTGAAAAGGTTTCACAGGTATTTGCAAAGCCCTGGCCTTCTTCAGTAATGCAGATCAGACAGGAGTCAAGATGGGCTTTGGAGTTGAGCTTCCAATCACATCCTACTTTCTGAGTGAAAAAGTTCAACCATTTTTGAAACTTTCTTCAACTTGATGAGTAGATAATGTCATCTGACCTCACATATTCCATGAATGCAGATATCATTTGTCTCTGGATTACAAGGTGTCCCATCAGCAACCAATGGAGACTTTTCTTCTGCTATGCTTTTTGCAATGCTCTTGCAGATCAGTTTGCATTCTTTACCTAAAGTTTCTGGGGTGTTGTGAGCAGAACATTGAACCTCTCTGAAACTTTGGTTCCCTTTCAAGCAATCTTTAATGAAGTTATAAATTGCTTGAACCAGCTTATTGGAAATAATGTTTCTAGGCTAACAACACTCTCTTGATATGTTGGATGACTTTTCAGGCTCCAATTACCCCATACACATTTGAATATTCAAACAAACGCAACACCATTCTAGGTCCAGCAAATTCATTTTTTTCATTTTGCCATATATTTTGGAATTTTTACCTGTTGAGAAGTGCGGAGTCCAGTCTGAAGTTTCTGGGGTGTTGTGAGCAGAACATTGAACCTCTCTGAAGCTTGGGTTCCCTTTTAAGCAATCCTTAATGAAGTTATAACATTGCATGAACCATAGTCAAATATTGTTTCCATGATGAAAGGGTTTACCTTTGTGTTACAAATGCTATTTTTTCTTCTTGATCCAGAACAAAACTTTCCTCCTTTTGAAGGCTTTGGGCGGTCACAAAATCTCACAGCATGTTGAACTCCACCACCACAAGTCCTTGAGCATTCTGACCAAGGCCCCCATTCACCCCATTGACCATGAACTGGAGTTATTGCTGACTCATCAATGTCCACACATTTACCAGCAATGCACCACTATATAAAGAAGACTCAAAAATTGAGATTCAGTAAGCGTTTTGAAGATGCAGAGGGATCACCTTGGATTCACCACAGGAAGTACCTTCTGCAAGCGATAACATTTTTCCTTTGCAAGTGTCATTCACCATGCACCAAAGATGCTCACAGGGGTCATTCTGTAAAGATACATATTTTGAGATTCTGCAAAAAATTGTTGCCAAACTAGTGAATTCTCAACTGATATTGCCAAATGTATGCAACTGCTGGCCTCTTTTCCATATTGAAGCTGACATTGATGGTCAACATCATACACAAGCCCTGGCATTGATGAGGGGTGAACTGCAATTGGGAGGTATCCTGGGGGAGTGTCATCCAAACATTTCCCAAGCCCCTGACTGAATACAATTTGGCAGCAAATCTTTTTTTTTCAAATTTAAAATGCTGTACAGGATAACTCACTCCAGAAATGCTGAGATTTTCTCTCTGGAACATGGAGACCAGACATCCTGGAAAACTGTGGTTGTTAGCTCAGTCAGCATGATGTGCTTAGCAGACTCATCTGTGAAACATTCCTCTGCTTTTGAATCATGTTCTGCTCCAAAACTTGATTTAAGAAGAAAAGTCAAAAGTTTTCATTCAACACAATTGTAAAATAAAAATATCTGTAAATCAATGGAATCATTTTTCCTATGAAGAACTCAATTGTGAATTTTTTGTGTTTTTTATCATGAAAGATTGAATAAGTCCTTACTTCATGGTTTTAATGTAGATGTTTTTAAGCACAGGAACCAGGAGTGAAATGAAACTAGAAGCTCAGATCATCTTCATCATAAATAATTATCAATATTTTCTGGATTTTTAGGGTCTGTGAAATGAATTGTATTCCATAGTTTCATTAAAAAATTATCTTACTTGTGTGCAATCTCATGAGCAATAGTGTAGGCCAATGTCAAACCAGAGTCTTCATTGATATTGCAACTGCTAGCTGATTCACACAAGCTTCCAACCTCTGCCAATCCAAGTGTGTTGCAAGTTACATTCTGGTTACATAAATCAATCCTGAAAAGAATATTTAAGAGTGTTTTTATGAATTTGCCAACATGTATGGTTTTTCTCTTGCCTTGTTACCAAAATTGCAATATCATGATGCAATGGATCAGAATCATCCTCGGTATTGCGAAGGTGTTGCCACTTGCAGAAGGACTTCAGTAAAGAATCTGCTGAACCATCATCAGAAGTGAACTCATCCTGAAAACAAACAAAGTGCCAAGACAAATATTTTTTTAGTTAATTTTCGAAAAACTGAGGAATTAAAAAAGCTTATAAAAGAGTTACCTCTGGGCTCTCCAGCAATATCATCCTGACGACTACAATATTGATGGCTGCTCCAATGGAATGATCTCTAAAAAGTCCTGCAACCTTTTGAAGATGTTTCATAATAGGTAATTTTTTGGAATACAGTAAAGTCAATCCCCACATAACAGACCTCCTGCTTAAGTGAGTTTTGCCTTACAGACTGCCTCTGGAGGCATTTTTTCCTCTCACCATATGGACAAAATCTGCCTGACTGACTTATGTTGGTTTAAAACTAATAGTAAAAAGTATATGTTAATATTTTAATGATTGAATTGAAGTAAGAGACTTCTCACATATTCTGACTAGTCTGTTGCATGAATTAAACCTTGGACAGTGGGGATTTCCTGGCCATCCTGCAGCAAAGTAGAAAATTTTTGGGGGCAGGGGCATTTCAGTTTGACAAAAGGTCACTGAAATTCTCCCAGGTTAAGTTGGGAAAAATCTGGGTGCAGAAAATCCCATGGTCTCAAGAAATCCCCAATGTTAATCCTATGCTGGGAATGCACAAAAAAAACACTACCCAGGGAGGACCTTTTTCAGTTTTGAGACAACATTTTCTGCAGCAATATGAAAAGTATTGGACTTTTTCTGACATAGGCCTTAGTTCAAAAATCATATTTCTTCTCAATTTCATGCTGGGAACAAAATTTTGAAAAAATATCCGAACTTTAAAGTAGTTTCAAGCTCAGCATTGGGAACATTTTGACCTTTTTTACCTTTCTAAATATTGAAATTTAAAATCCCACTTGAAGTTTTTCAACTTGTTTTGGTTGAATACACATACAGCTTTTTCATTTTCAAAATTTTGCATTTTTATTTTTTGCATTTGGAGAATTTGAGTATTTGATGAACTTCCAAAGCTTACCATGTTCATGACAGTCATCAGATAAGTTTCCAGATCATCCCCAGCAAAATGACGGACCATAGAATAATCTGCAACTAAAAGAGCTTCTACAAATTTTTCTCCTGAAATGCCCAATTTTGGTTGGACTATTTCTCCTGAAGTATCAACAAAAATTGATTCCTGGAACCCACTGCCTTCTTCTGGGTTTTCTTCGCTAAAACCACTGCCTTCTTCCGCAAATCTCTTACTTCTTTTCTAAAGAAACGAAAAATAGTCACGAAATTAAGCCCAGATTTTGAGAAAAAAATATTAATGTGCATACATAATTTTCTTTGTGACATCTATTGATGACTTCCTGAACACCTTCGCAAAAAAGGGCAGATTTCGCAAACAATGTGTGGTGTTTTGCAGTCCGAAATTCGATTATGAGATTCAGGAAACTATTTCCATGATGTGGAAAGCGAATTAATCCAGCCTATGTGATAAAAAAAAATTATTTTTAGTTTGGGTCGATTTCCCAAATGAAAATTCCGGGAAACAAAATTATTTCGCCTCACACAAGTCTGTGATTGCGGAATGAAACCCTAGCTTCCGATTTTCTGCATCCCACAACGTTCCCTTGAAATTGGAACTGATTCGCACTGATTCTCTTGGCATGAATATTTTCTGTGCCAAGATGAGTTTTGTTTCTCCATCTTTCGACCACCAAGAAATGTGGAAACGACTCAGTTGGCTCATCTTGCAGTTGGACCTCGAAGAAAAATGCTCCAGTAGCTTCTCTAATCTTGAAAAAAATAATTTTTGGAAACTCAATTTCAAATTTTGAAAATTTTCCAAAAAAATATACTCACTTCGAAAGTTGGAAACCTTTCCTTCACTATCACAGGCCATGAGCAATCAATAACCACGGACTCGGATCCAAGATTTTGCATCAAACAAAAGAGCACGATGAGAATCACTTTCATTTCGACGACAATTCGCTATTTTCGACAGACCAAAAAAAAATCACTGCAGAATAACTATTCACGAAAAACGATACGGAAAACGTTGAGTTATAAAACTATGAAAATGTCCGCTTTCGAAGAATATTGACAATGATTTTGGGTAAGGCTCATGTTAGATGAGTATCAAGTGATTCAATTTGAACAACTGCGGAGATGAGTTTCTTTACCAGATCATGGAACGCGTAAAACTAGTTGATTTATAAATTCGATCTCCTTATGTTTCCAGTGTTGGAGTAAACAAACATTACTTTGGAGGTGTTTATGACTTCAAATAATGGTGTCAAGTTCCATATTGTTGGCTTCAATGAACTGAACCTGTATGTATTAGACCTAAAAAAATTGGAGAAATGTAGAGCATTTTTCTGTGTAATACTCCAATAATTAGGAAACCATGATTCTAGGAAGGATTGTAAGAATGAACAAGCAGAATAAGTGGAATGGGGCAGATTTTCTCTTCTCTGGAAACTAAACGTTTGTATGTTCATTCAAACTTCAAGGTTGACGATAACCTTTCAAGATTTTTTGACTGAAAATGCATGGGGAGAAACATTTTCTCCCTTGTAAAGTGAATACTTTTCTAACTCACCTTTATAATGGTTTTTTCTTCCTAGTCTTTTTATTATTTTTATTCCAAAGTTATATTTTATCACCCTGGAAATAAAATGAAGAGTTCTCAGAATTTTCAAAAATTCGATTTCTAACAATATTTTTCCCCTCCCCACCCTTTTGACTCTTGAAAAGTTCATAATTTAGGATCAAAAGATAGAATTTCAATATGATTCTCTGAAAAATTTCACAACAACAAGTCATTCAGTGACACCTGGCACATATGTTTTTTTATTTTTTTACTAAACTTTTGTTGCTTTAAATTGTTTTTAAAATAAAAGTTTAGTAGAAAAAAAAACAAATTGTACAAGTTGTCCCTGTGCAGCTTGTCTCATAATCTTTCATTATTACTTAACAAGTAATCACTCTATGTTGTTTATTTATAATACAGTGAGACCACAAGATGCAGACATAATTGGTGCATCAAGAGTGTCCCCAAGTTTAATTGTCCCTGAGTCAAGACTTGTTTTCCCATAGACTTACATTATATAATTTTGAATTGGTGTTTCATGGGAGAAATATTCTTCAGAATTCCCTGAAAAAAAATGTTTGCCACTTGAATTTGAATTAGTGAATACATGTTCAACTCAATAAGAACATTTGGAGCATTGAATAGTGTATCTCTGGGCTGTACACTGTAAGTTTGGCATCTACAAAAATAACATTCAAGTGAAAAAAGGAGAAGCTCTTTTAGTTGCAGATTATTCTATGGTCCGTCATTTTGCTGGGGATGATCTGGAAACTTATCTGATGACTGTCATGAACATGGTAAGCTTTGGAAGTTCATCAAATACTCAAATTCTCCATGTTGTTGTGAAATTTTTCAGAGAATCATATTGAAATTCTATCTTTTGATCCTAAATTATGAACTTTTCAAGAGTCAAAAGGGTGGGGAGGGGAAAAATATTGTTAGAAATCGAATTTTTTAAAATTAGCTAAATGGGTAGTAAATTGGTGAGAGAAATGCCCAAGAACTTTTCTTACATCAATTTTAGTGTTGGAAATATCTGTTTCTTTTAATTTGGCCTGAAATATATTTGCAATTTAATCACAAAATGTCCTTTTGTTGAGTCAGTGTCCTCATGTTGGGCCTTACTTATTAATTTTTTTCTGAAAAAATAAGTGTCCACAGGACATTATGTCATTTGTCCGCAGGTCAAGGTGTCCACATGTGGGGGTCTGACTTCACATTCTTTCTCTGGCTGTGAAAATTGGTAAAAGTTTATATATCTTCTAGAAACTGAATCAGTAAAAGAGCTTCTCTGGAAAAATTCCTATGAATGTACGCATATGAGTTTTTCCAGGACTTTTGTGTTGAACTCTTCATGAGGAAATCCGGGGCAAACTTTTGAGCCATCTAAGTTACGTTAAACTAATCAAAGTACATCTCAAGTTAACATTTTCATGTGTAGATGTCGCTGTCTTGATTCGCAATTGAAGATTTCTGTCAACTACTCCCTGTTTCATCAGCGTGAAGACGATTCTGGAATCTAAATACAGTTCAAGAAGATTTCCTGGTGAAAATCCTGACGTTTAGTACATATTTCAAGCTCTACTCTGCTTTTTTCGCGTTTTCATAGAAAGAATATATCTGTCTCCGATCTCTGAGCAGTGTATCAATTTGATTTCCCCTGCGAATTTTCTTCTCGCCGCTGGTTTGACGGTATCAGCTCAGTTTTCCCAGCGCATTCACCTTGTGCTCATCGCATCTGTTATTTTCAATCCGAGTTTCTTTTTTTTTTACCTTTTCTGGTATTTTCCCGACGTCGTAAGCAGAGATTTTTGCCCGGAATACTTTTTACATCACGTCTTTCATAAGACAAACATTGCTTCGACTCCCGCATGGATTATACTTGATACGTTCCAATAAGGGAATCCGATAGTTCCAGTGTATATACTGTACCTCACCTTTCCTAAGTTTTTTTTTTGAACTTCTTTAATACTGAAATATTGTCATGTGAACATTTCAATTGTAGAATCGTGAAAGTTATTGTTCGAATGGTGCGTATGTTGCTTGAATTGAGGGAAGAATAATTTTAGAATATGATAAACAGACGCACTAATGTACTTGGTTGGTTCAAAAATCAGATATACTGTTGCTATACTGATGTATATCTTAAATTAAGTGAAGATTTCTTTTCATGGAAAAAAGCAACCAAAATTTATTGTATTATTATTTTCCGGATTTTGAGTTCCTTGTTAAAAGCAAGATAAATTTTATATTTTTAAATGTTGTAATCAGAAATTTAGGACTATGAAGTTTGCTTTTAAAGTTACACATACAGAAAGGAGGATTTGCGTTTAAAGTGAATTTCCCGGACTGATTTTTGATTTTGGGTGTGTCATTATACCAAGCAAGGCTAACATCCCTTATCTATACAGTACTGTGTAAGAGTTTATATTTCCATTTTAGTCTTGACCAATAAATACAGGATTGGAGAAAGTTTCTTTGAATTTAGAATATTTCAAAGTCATGCAGCAAACACGTTTACAAGGATAACTTGCCAGAAGAAACAACAGCAAATACTGTATTTAATTTTGTTTGGCAGCTGGTAACCACCAAAATAAATTATTGCAGATGTGCACAGTTGTACAAATGAGAATCATTTATAAGTTGTATATAACTTAATGGTATGCATGCATAGCACATGGAAGTCATCTGGCCTGTAGTCTGGAATATGCAATAACAGGAGCTTCTTATAATCACACATCCCTATACTTTTGTTTGATTCATTAACTGTTGGATGACAGTGGTTCAAAGTCCGTTGTGTGGGAGTGCTTGGAAATTTTGGCATTCTTGAGGATTTCGGTTTGACCAAAGGTCACTGAAATGCAGCTTTGGCTGATTAGCCAATGATGCATCCCAAATGCTGTGATGCTGTAGCATCTTGCCACATTTTGCCAAGAACCCTGATTTGTCCATAAGGCCAGCAAGCCTTTAAAGCTCTTCTTGACCCAGTTTGAGCACACCAACAAGTATAAAAACCTTCCTTAATTTTGGAGAGGAGAAATGGGAATCAAGTTTTAAAGGGTCCTTTAACCTAATATTAAAACTTGCAATTACAGTGGCCCCCCACCTAACAGACCTCCCGTGTAAGGGATTTT